ACAAACACAAAGGTTTGTTTGTCATGTAAGATCTTACACCTCCCTCCCCAGTACTGCTCAGCCACTTGTCCCTCCATATAAGCATCAGTTAGCATCCCTGCTGCTCCACTTCTGATCCAGCATCCTGAACATGCAACTGAAAAAGCTGCAGATGATGGCCCAAATCTTGGACCCCTGCACCCACGTGAGAGTCCTGGGTGAAGCTCCAGGCTCCTGGCTTTGGCTCCACTGCAGTCACTGGTGAGTGAGCCCGCTAAAGGAAGATCCACCTCTCTCCCAGCCCCTCTTTGGAACTCAGACATTCAAATAAATAAGACTATATAAAACAAACAAAAAAAATAGTTATGATGGATTGGTCAGTTCTGGGTGATCCTTTCTGACCCGAGTCTAGCAGCATGCGAACAGCCCTCATCTCAGAACCTGCAGGGAGGCTCATTTTGTCCTCCTTCCTGTCTACCTGGTAGCTACCTGCCCAGACCAAGGAGGCCTTCCAGACCAGCTGGGGAAAGTCTGGATATCAGGGCTCAGACATAGTGGAAAGATGGGTTCCATCTTCTTCAAGACAAAAGTGGAAAGTCTTGGCACATTGGCCAGGACTGGTGTGTCACATGGCAACTGGTGTCTGAGAGAGAGAGCTGGGACATAGAGCAGAGCAGACTGTTACTGAAAAGGCCCAGGTCTGCAGACACCATTCTTATTAAATTAAAAAAAAAAAATCTTGAAAAGAACTAAACCTGCAACTGGAGGGTGGGAGCAGGCATGTTGGAGTAGCAATAAAGTTAAGTCCAATCCAACTGCCTGTAAAGGCCTGCAGAAAGCAGAGCATGGTGTGAGTGGCTGGAACACTGTAGCCATGTGGGAGACCCAGATGAAGCTCCTGCTTTTGGCTTGTCCCAGCCTTGGCCATTTTAGTCACTTGGGGAGTGAGCCAGTGGACGGAAAACCTCCCTCTGCCTCTCCCTATCTCTCTGTAACTCTCACTTTAAAACAAATAAATGAGCCAGTTTATATCATAGTGGGTAAAGCCTCTGCCTGTGATGCCAGCAACCCATATGGGCACCAGTTCAAGTCCCAGCTACTCCAGTTCTGATCCAGCTCCTCATAAAGTCCCTGGGAAAACAGGAGAGGATGGTCCACAAGCTTGGATCCCTGTAGCCCCAAAGGAGACCTGAAAGAAGCCCCTGGCTCCTGGTTCCTGTTGCAGACATTTGGACAGTGAACCAGCAGTCCTGGAGCTGCTCAGAGCTCTGGGAACCATGGTTCCAACCAGGCCTGCAGACACTTCACCTAAAAATGACAGGGCAAAAGGAGGCTCCCAGCAACGAGTTTCCAAACAGAAGGTGTGAAACACAGTATCCCTGTTACAAAGGGAGACAATTTTTTAAAAAAGATTTATTTATTTATTGGAAAGTCAGATATACAGAGAGGAGGAGATACAGAGGAAAATCTTCCATCTGATGATTCACTCCCCAAGTGAGCGCAACGGCCTATGCTATGCCAATCTGAAGCCAGGATTCAGGAACTTCTTCCAGGTATCCCACACGGGTGCAGGGTCCCAAGGCTTTGGGCCGTCCTCGACCGCTTTCCTAGGCCACAAGCAGGAAGCTGGATGGGAAGTGGAGCAGCCGGGATTAGAACCGGTGCCCATATGGGATCCTGGTGCGTTCAAGGCGAGGACTTTAGCCGCTAGGCCACGCTGCCAGGTCCGACAATGTTTTTTTAAAATAAAAAAGCACAACTGTAAGAAACAAAAGCAAGTCTGGTGCTGCAGCACAGTAGCTCAGAAGGCAGCCTGTAGCACCTGCTGGTGTCCCACACTGGAACGCCAGCTTCCATTCTGGCTGCTTCTCATTCAGCTTCCTGCTAATGTGCCTGGAAGGTAGGGAACATGGCCCAAGCCAGGCTGCCTGCCACTCCTGTGGGAGGCCAGGATGGAATTGCCAACCCCTGGCCGTGGTGTGGCCCAGAGCTCGTGTTGTGACCATTTGGGAATGAACTGACAAGTGGAAGCCATCTTTCTGTTTCTCTCACTCTGCCAATCTACCTTCCCAACAAATAGACACTGCAGAGAGGTACCCATGCATTGAGCAGTAAGAAAGGGGGGTGAATGCACTGTGATTCACAAGGTAGGGACTCCAACTCCATTACATTTGATGAGTACAAACCATGTCTAAATATTCTTAAATGTCACTGACAGCTAAGTGGTAGTAAGAGACACTAGTACGCTAACAGAGGGGTCTATGCAGCTCAGGCCTCCTCCAGCAGTCGGTGCCCCAGCTGAGTCAAGCACCACAGAGGGGAATGAAGGGTGGAAACTCTCCTGCTTCTCAGGCTTGGGCACACATTCTTTACAAGAGAGGATGAGTGATCCAGGATGCCTGTGGGGCAGTCTCTGCTATGGTGGCACTGAGTCTGGGTCTAATTAAAGACCAGGAGTCCCAGCAGAAGAGCCTGGCTCTCCCCACCAACAAACAGGATCTAAGTAGGTCAGTACCGGGTGCAGACACGGTCTGCTCCAAGTAGACTCACCTGTAAGGTTAGGATCGCTGAGGGCAGCAACAGACACAGCCAGAGCATCATCTAAAGGGTGCATCACAAAGTCCTGCCTGTGACTGGGGACCAGATGTCCAGCCTGCAAGGAAATATCCTTGGAGGATGCAAGCGCAAGGGACATCAACCATGATTCAGAGGCCACCAGAGAGGGCTCCACAACACTACTGTTGGCAGGCAGAGTGCAGAGACCAGAGCCAGGGCAGATGGTGAGGACGGAGGCAGGATCATGGCCATGCTCTTCCTGGTGCATCTCACCACCCTGCAGGAACCTGGAAAACATAGCAAAGACTGTCCCTCAGTCGACAGTGGGGGCTACACAATGTAGGCTCGTCTAGGTTCAACCACAAAGGCTGCAGGGCCCAGCACAGCACTAACACACTGCTCCTATTCTTTTTTTTTTTTTTAAGAAGAAGGGTTTTCTTTATTTTTATTATTTTTTTTATTGGAAAGGCGGATATACAGAGAGGAGAGACAGAGAGGAAGATCTTCCGTCCAATGATTCACTCCCCAAGTGAGCGCAACGGCCGATGCTATGCCGATCCGAAGCCAGGAGCCTCTTCCCCACGCGGGTGCAGGGTCCCAAAGCTTTGGGCCGTCCTCGACTGCTTTCCCGGGCCACAGGCAGGGAGCTGGAAGGGAAGCGAGGCTGCCGGGATAGAACCGGCGCCCATATGGGATCCCGGGCATGCAAGGTGAGGACCCTAACCACTGCGCCACCGCGCCAGGCCCCTATTCTAAACCTATGACTGCCACTACAAGGACTGTATTCCTAAGAAAAAAATCTAGAAATACAAAAGACATTTATGTAAAAGATTGATTAATTTGAAAGGCAGAATTATAGAAAGAGAAAGAAAACACATAGAGACAAATCTTCCATCCACTGGTTTATTTCCCAAATGGCTCGGCTGAGCTGGTCTGAAGCCAGGAATTCCATCTGGGTCTCCCACATGGGTGCAAAGACCCAGGGAGTTGGTCCATCCTCTGCTGCTTTCCCAGGCTATCAGCAGGAAGCAACTAAAATTTAAACCAGCAACCACACAGAATGGCGGCACTGCAGGGGCAGCTTTACGCACCACACTGCAACGCCAGACCCAGGGCTAGACTACACCAGACCTGGCTTCCAGAGATACTTCATGAAGACCAACCACAAAAGCATTCATAGTTTATTTACAATGAGCTTCAATGCAGTGTTGGCAACTTAACATGATTAGCAAAAGCCCAATAGTCCAGAAAATAAATGCCAGTTGATTTTAAAGGCATACAAGGCAGAAGTTGGTAACGAAGCATTGCATTTCAAGGAACGCTCACTGCATCCCCTCCCTTGACTTCAGTAACACACCATTTTACAGCTGGAATCGAGGTCATACGAACCTACCAGAGGCCCAGGTACAAATGTCCTCAGGAGGGACCACATGCAACACAAGCGTGTGACCTAACGATCAGACCTGACATGAACCTCAGGCCCACAGCTGACAAACACTGAGCTCTCTGTACTTTCCTTATCTTTATGAGGCAGCAAATATGGGCTGGTTGGAAAAGCAGCAAAAATCAAATTCTAAAACTCTTTCATGACCTGTTCCTCCTTTTCTCTATCTGCCTACTGTGAGAAGGACTAACTAAATAAGCCAAGAAAAAACACTACACGCTTAAAAATCCTTCACTTAGCAGCAGCATGGCCTCCCCCTAGGTGACTTCTGGACACCTCACCACTAGGAAACCACACCCCCAGCTGCCCTCAGGACTCAGCCTCAGCCTTGGTCTGAGCTTGGATTCTTGGTTCACTTACACTCTTTCGAAGCTGGTGTTGAAGTGTGTTGGGTTAAGCTGTGGCCTGCAACTCTGACATCCCATACTGGACCCAGCAGTCTCAGCTGCTCCACTTCCAAGTTACCTCCCCAGCAATATACCTGGGGAAGCAATGAAAGATGCCCTGGGTGCCTGGACCCCTGCCACCCAAGTGCAAGACCCGGAAAGAGCTGGTTCCTGGCTTTGGCCTCGCCTGGCTCCAACTGTTGAAGCCATTTGGGAAATGAACCATAAAATAGAAAAAAAATCTCTTGTTCTCCTTTCAAATATATTGTTTTAAAAAGTGCACTTGGTTTTCCTGTAATAAAGCCATATACTTCTTCTCCAAGGTTCAAAAATGCCTGCTACAGGTGCTCAGCTTCTTCCTTCCCACATTACTTCTGCGAGGTCTTCCTGGCAGTACACAAAGCAGAGTGCTCAGACAGCATTCTGCAAAGGAGAAAGGTGCTGACTGCACGGAATGCACAACAGACAGACTACAGCAGACTCACAAACCACAAAAGCTGGGGTCGTCTGCAGGCGAAGTCAATCTCCCCCCTTTTCCCAAACACACATGAAGGTGGGCCTCACTCCATGTCAGGTTCCAGAGTCACAGCTGCTCTGTCTCTGATGTGGCTTCCCTTCCTCCAATCAATCAGCAGTCACTGACCTGGTACCTGTGCGGTGGCCCCAGCACACTCATGCCCACTCCCCATCCTCACCTTCAGCTGAGAAGGCGAACGAACAGGTGAGATGGCCCCATAGCACGTGAGGACAACAGTACCTGGGAGCCAGGGGCCTTGAGATCGTCTCAGCTCCAGGAAGGTCTGTGACCAGGGCCAGGGCCTCCCAAGGTCTTTGGAGGGCGTCTGGAGACTGCGGAGGTACGCCGTCCCTGGGCCAGGCTGGAAAAAACAGAGGGAAGGAGAGGCTTCGTGACTCTATCTCGGCCTCCCTTCCAGCAAGTAGAGCAGGGTGTGGCCACTGGGTCATCAATCTTTGCTGTGAGCTATCCCCAGACCCACATCTACTCCCTGATCCCCACACCGATGCCCATCTATCTCCACATGGCAATCTGGGCACACGGGTGGGGGGCCGGGCACCTACAACCTCACCTACACCATTCCTCGGCACAGTCTGACTCTCTCTACCTTCAGGATTAGCTGGCCACCAGGTGAGGTCTTGACTGTGCTGAACATTGGTGAGGTCTGCACCTATAGCCACAGTGCCCCTGTTCCAGTGTCCCGTAACAGTTAATGCAACGAGGGGGCTTGTCAGAAAGCAAACCTCCAGATACCATGATGCTAGGGCCTTGGAGACACCCACCGGACCAATGACACCAGCGGTCCAGACGTCTCTCCTTTGTACTGGGGTCTTCGGCCACCACCCGCTGGGCTGGCTGCACATGCTGGAGCAGGGACTGCTGGCACCGCCGGTAATTAGCAAACCAGTTGTAGACCTGCTCTGCAGTCAAGCTTGTCTCCAAAGCCAAACTCTCCTGTCCGAAAACAGCACAATTAGCTTTGTTAACTCCTGGTCCGTGCCCACACTTCCACAGAAACCAAGCTGACCTCTCCAAAGGCAGCAGAATCGGCACCAGCTGCACTGGTGGCTGACCAGGGCCTCTCCTAGCCACCTGCTTGGAGAAGACACAACACCTCCCAGGCCCAGGCTCAGTTCGGGAGTCAGGCCAGGCCAAGCGTCGTAGGGAGCCGAGCCTCAGCAGGCCTTGTAGAGCAGGCCCGCAGTGTCCTGAACCTTGCAGAGCAGGCCCACAGTGTCCTGAACCTCGGGAGGGGCCCGCTGTGTGCAGTCACCGCCCCCAGCACCATGCACCCCACACATGGGGCGACCCTGAGCAAAAGCCCCAGCAGAGAGGGGGGACCCAGCCCAGTAAGCAGCAGACAGGAGAGGCCACCAGGAGGAGCCATGCGACCGCGGGACGGATGTGCTGAGGGAGCAGGAACCAGGCACTGTGGGCCAATGCCCCTACCCTCAACCCACACCCAGTACCAGCCATCTCAGCCTCCATGCCTACAGCCACACTGAGAACCTAAGAAGGCGACTGGGACTGCCCTCTGTAGACTAGGCACAGGGCACGCCCTCCCAAAAGAGGATAAAGAACAGGCGTGGGGGCAAAGGCCCAGGGACAGGCAGCTGAGGCAGAGGTAAGGCTTCCACCTGTTCTTACCCGCTGAGCCTTGCTGGGGTTAATGCTCACGGCCAAGGCAAAGTCTTGAAGCCTCCTGCGGACCTCTCTGGGGAAGTTCCGACTCTTGAGGCCATCCGGGCAGAGGCCTGCGGGTGGGGGATTCCTGGAGGAGATGAGAACAGCACAGTGAGGGGGCCCAGCGGTCCCCTGCCCTGTGACAGCAACATTTCTGAGGCAAGGCTGTCCCACAAGTGAAAATCAGCGTCTAACCCACACACCTGCAGGCCATGGCGGGGAGCTCAGCCCCAAGACCCCCAAAGAGGGCTCCAGGATCTGGGTTCCCACCCCTATGTTTTCACATTTCCATGTGGCTTTTCCCTGTCCTCCCTGTCTGCCCATGGGACTTATGAGGCAAAGTCCTTGGCCTTCCCACCCATCTCTCAGTGCAGCCCCACCCCCATACCCTTGCGCCCTTCTCTGCCCAGCACTTCCTCCCTAGATTTCACTGAGTTATCATCACTGACTTGCCACCATGGCGCCTGCCAGCCCACTGCACCCCTCAAACACATGGGGACCCCAGCAATGAGGCTGCAGCTGATGTTCTGTGTATTGGCTCCACTTCCCTGCCTCCCTAAGGACTTTCCAGATTCCATTCCAATTCAAGTGTTTCTTGCACCAGAGGCATCGGGGCTGGTAAACATTCTGGCGGCTCTCACCTCCCCCCAGCCCTCCGGCTGCTGCCTCAGTCAGGGCTCTCCCAGTAAAACTTCTCTAGCTTCACCCAGGGTCACTGAGCCAGCTCCTCCCCTCACCACGGGCAGCAGAGGGTCACTGCTGTTCTCCTTTATCACCCTGGACTTCCCTCCCTGCATGCCACACCCCGCACTTCCCCTCACCCCCTGGCCACTCCTCAGCTGACCACTGCAGGGGGTATGAGGAGCAGCTAGGCTGCTCAGGCCACTGGACAACATCCCCAGCACTACTCCTGAGATTGAAGCCTCCTGGAGCTAGGCAGGGGACATGTCCAAGTTGGTCACAGTTTTTCGCCACCACTGAATATATCTTCATTTCTACTGAGGACAAATATCACTTCAGTTGAAGATTTCAGCTGCAAAGCCTATGTGGACGTACATAATGCAGTGGGCACCTTACACATCCCAAATGCAGCTCATCTCCCTGGAACCACTCACCCCACCCCTGCCCTGTGTGCCTTAACAAGAACCACCACACTCCTGGTTCCAACCCAGGGCCAAAAGCCCTGGAATCTCTTCCCTTTTCACTGCATACAACTGTTCTTGGGCCATGATTTGGGTCCTGGACAACGCCTGAGCCGCAAAGAGACACCACCCTTCCTGACAGCCCTCAGGGTCAGCCAGCACCATCAGAATACAGCCCTGGGCTCTCCTTGTGGTTCATCAGTCACTCTCCCCGCAGGTGAAAATTCAGCCACCACCTGTCCCTATGGTTACAGGCGAAGGTCACTGCTGCATTTTCCAAAGGCTGTGAACACCCCTTCAGCCAGCGGACATCCCCTAAACCAGAGGTCTTAAGCCAGACCTCTGAGGTTGCCACTCCCTCTGCCTTAAACACTGGTGCTCACAAGACCACCACCATCCCTCAGGTAGGGTCTCCTTCCAAGGCTGGGATAGACCTGCACTACCAACACTGAAGAAGCCCCTCCCCACAGCCCAGCCCCCTCAGACCACGGTCTCTGCAGAGACCTGCCTGCTAGCGATGATCGATCCGCTAGCACTTCGTGGTCTCATGTCAGTGCCACCTGCAGGAAAGCAAAGCCTAGGGTGCCCCAGCATCCAGACCCAGGGAGTGCTCCCCAAACAGCTTGAGTGACAGGATGCCACCCCTACACTGGTCACCAAGTGGCTGCCTCTGCTGGGCTTCCACTGGCAGGCTGTCAGCCTCTGTGTGGTGGGTCACACAGCCCTAGCGGTCCCAGGCTCACTGACTGCTGGACTCTGAAGGACTTGCCTCACATTGGCCTCCCTGCAAGCAAGCCTCTGTAGTACAATCCATCTCTTCTTCCAGGAGCCACAGGGAGGGGTGGGGTAGCACTCAGAACAAGACCTGTGAGCCTTGCTTGGCAACAGAAAATAACGTAAGGGCATGGCCAACCCCTCAGGAGCCCCTGACACACAGAGCTAAAGCCCAGCAGTACCTCTTCCTGCAGCGGAACTTCTGCACCGGGGTCAGCGCAGCCACACCCAGCTTCCTCCTGGCCAGGTCGTAGTGAATGTCGTTCCAGAGCTGCACCAGCTCACGGCTGCCTCCTGGCACCCGACAACCCTGTCAAGGAGAGTCCACTAAAGCCACATGTTGGTAGGAAGAACCAGGTCTGGATGGACCCACGGTTAGCAGTGCTGAGGGCTACAGTGGGAAAGGAATAAACAGGCACAAGCTAGAACCTGGAACAAGTGACATCAAGCGGCCAGGGAGGCATCAACTGCACAGAGCAAGGTCTTGGCCTCCTGCAGAGGGAATGACATACTGAGAGGGATTCCAGGTGCCGCCAGACTGGGGACCGGGGTGATGATGGGTGTACCTGGCCATCTGATCACTGTCAGCGCTTCAAAGCCAGAAAGAAATCAGGTTTCACTCCACCTGCTGTGTTTATGAGCTGGCACCACTTGATGCACATCCAGTACTCAGATTCCCAAGCTGCTTGTAACTCACTCAAGTGAGAATTACCGGAACTAATCTTTGTATAAAACACCTCTCCCAGGCAGCCCTAAGGGGTTGGTCTGTGAGATGTGGGCCAGCAACTCATTGCTAGCTCCCGGCATATGGATAATGCTTGAATGGTGCACCCTGCCCCTCCTTCCAATGGCCACTGAGCCCACATGTACCTCCAGAAGCCGGCAGGCCGCCTGTTGCTGCTCCTGCTGGGCCAGGACACGGGCACACACCAGGGCCACATCTGCATTGTCCAGGAGGTGCGGGCACAGCTGGCTGTCCAGAATGGCAGAAACCAAAGGCTGCATCTGAGTGAGGTCATCTTGGATGTCATGGCATAGGCTGCCCGCGAGGGGCACCAGCTCCGCCGGGGGTGGGTGGGTGTTCCCGTGCTCCCTCAGCAACATCAAGAAGCTCTGCATCATGCCACTCTGCCAACAAAGACCAAGATCAGACCATGTGCACACAGCAGGCCACACTGCAACCTCCATGCCAGATCAGCTGTGGTGCCCAACTGGGAATGGCCAAGGACCACACGCCTGCAAAATTTCCTTCTACCCTCCACCAGAAAAAGTCTGAATCCTGAGAGGGTGACCCCACGGGAGAGTGACCAGCACTAGTCCACCTCTTTGTCAACACTATTACTGATGTCATTGGAATGAGGTGGGGAGAGAACTCCTGCTAGTCTACTCCCCAAATATCCACAAGAGGCTATGCAAAGCCAGGTGAAAATTAGTATGGACCTCCCACGTGGACAACACAAACCGACCACCTGCACCTGAGCTATCACCCGCTGCTTCCCTGCCTCCCAGGGTGCAGTTGGGGGCCAGGCTTGAACCCAGATACCTCACAACGATAGGTGGGATCCCCAGCAGACTTAACTGTTACTCCAGAGCCTGCCCCCAGTCACCTGACTTCCCTGAGCCTCCCTTTTCCGCATGAGATAAACTTGATTCTGTTTCCTCGGGGAGGCCCCCAAGGCGTTCCGGGGCACTTGCCCACTGCCGCTGCTGCTCACTGAAAACGCTCAGCTTCCACAGGTTAGCCCGGAAAGGGCGGCCATGAGCAACGGGGTCTGTACCCAGAGCCTACCAAAAACGCTCCCGGGCTAAAGCCTAGGCCTCCACTTCGCCTGGTGCCCTGTGCCACCGCCAGGTCTCACTACAGTGCCAGCTCTCTCCTCATGGGGTCCTGACCCCTCACCGCCTCCTCACTGGGTCCCGACCCCGAGTCCCAGCAGCTCCTCACATATCCTCAACCCGTGTCCCAGCACCTCCTCACCCGGTCAGCCCCCACAGGGTACCGACGCCCCCTCACCCGGTCACAACCCTGGTCCCGACGCCCCCTCAACCGGTCCCGATGCCCCCTCAGGGTCCCGACGCCCCCTCACCCAGTCCCAATGCCCCCTCAGGGTCCCAACGCCCCCACAGGGTCCCGACGCCCCCTCACCCGGTCCCGAAGCCCCCTCAGGGTCCCGACGCCCCCTCAGGGTCCCAATGCCCCCTCAGGGTCCCAATGCCCCCTCACCCGGTCCCAATGCCCCGACGCCCCCTCACCCGGTCCCAATGCCCCCTCACCCAGTCCCGACGCCCCCTCACCCGGTCCCAATGCCCCCTCAGGATTCCGACGCCCCCTCACCCAGTCTCGACGCCCCCTCAGGGTCCCGACACCCCCTCAGGGTCCCAATGCCCCCTCAGGGTCCCAATGCCCCCTCAGGGTCCCAACGCCCCCTCACCCGGTCCCGACGCCCCCTCAGGGTCCCGACGCCCCCTCAGGGTCCCGACACCCCCTCAGAGTCCCAACGCCCCCTCACCCGGTCCCGACGCCCCCTCACCCAGTCCCAATGCCCCCTCAGGGTCCCGACGCCCCCTCAGGGTCCCGACACCCCCTCAGGGTCCCAACGCCCCCTCACCCGGTCCCGACGCCCCCTCAGGGTCCCGACACCCCCTCAGGGTCCCAACGCCCCCTCACCCGGTCCCGACGCCCCCTCAGGGTCCCGACACCCCCTCAGGGTCCCGACACCCCCTCACCCGGTCCCGACGCCCCCTCAAGGTCCCGACACCCCCTCAGGGTCCCGACGCCCCCTCACCCGGTCAGCCCCCTCACCCGGTCCCAATGCCCCTCAGGGTCCCGACGCCCCCTCACCCGGTCCCGACGCCCCCTCAGGGTCCCGACGCCCCCTGACCCGGTCCCGACGCCCCCTCACGGGGTCACCTTCTCACGGGTCTTCACTCCCGGCGCCAGCGTCCCAAGCCCTGGACCCGCGTCCTCAGAGAAACCGGGGCTCCGGGAGACCAGGGCGGTGGAGGTGGGGGAGCTCCGGAAGACAGACGGCAAGGAAGAAGCGCGCACTGGGGCCTCCACCGGGCTCACCGACCCTGCCCTACCGTGCCCGCTGCTCTCGCTGCTCTCGCTGCTCTCGGTCCGGGTGCAGCCCCGGGTGGAGGCCCAGGCTCACACCCCGTGCTGGGCGTCCAGGGCTCCCGCCCGCCACGCCGACTCACCTGCAATACCGTCCACTTCCCGCTTCCGCTGCGCGGACGTGCCGCACCAGCTCCTCACTCCCGCGGGACCGGAGGCACCGTCGCCCGCTGGCCCAGGACTGGAGTGGTCGCTCAATGTATCCACCCGCGGCCAATCACGAGGGGGAGACTGGCGGGGCGGGGGCTCTCAGGGGCAGCCGGAAGGAGTGGAGCTGCCTGGGGTGGGAGCCCTCTGCCCGGGGCGGGCGGGAAGAGGCGCGCTCGCCCCACGCGCTCGCCCCACGCGCTCGCCCCTCTCCCGGTTTCCCGGCGCTGGGCGCTGCTCCCCGAGACCCGCTCCCCGTCCCCAGCCTCCCCGGAGAAGGCGCTATTGGAATCCACACGCGCACGGTTCTGAATGCCCCAAAAAGGGCTCTGCTTGTGGACAGGGAGGGGTTCAGACCCTTGGGCCTGAGCCCTAGTGACCACCGCACCGAGGAAGACATTAGGCACCTGTCGTCAACACCGGCCCCCACGATCTGGCCTCGCCCCTGCGTGCGGGGACACATGACTCTTGTGCTGCAGACCGACCACGTAGGTTTCCAAGGTGGGCCAGGTCAGACTTGAATACAATTTTTTTTAATTTTTATTGGAAAGGCAGATATACAGAGAAGAGGAGAGACAGAGATGAAGATCTTCCGTCCAATGATTCACTCCCCAAGCGGCCGCAATGGCTGGAGCTGAGCCAATCCAAAGCCAGGAGCCAGGAGCTTTTTCCGGGTATCCCATGTGGGTGCAGGGTTCCAAAGATTTAGGATGTCCTCGATTGCTTTCCCAGGCCACAAGCGGGGAGGTGGATGAGAAGCGGGACTGCCAGGATTAGAACCAGAGCCCATATAGGATCCTGGCATGTTCAAGGTGAGGACTTTGGCCCCTAGGCCATCGTGCCGGGCCCTATGTGTATAAACTTTTAAAACATATGACTTATTGGGCCCGGCGTGGTGGCGCAAGTGGTTAAAGGTCCTCGCCTTGCACGCCCGGGATCCCATATGGGCACCGGCAGCCCCGCTTCCCTTCCAGCTCCCTGCCTGTGGCCTGGGAAAGCAGTCTAGGACGGCCCAAAGCTTTGGGAACCTGCACCCACGTGGGAGACCCGGAAGAGGCTCCTGGCTTCAGATCCGCATAGTATCGGCCCCTTGCGCTCACTTGGGGAGTGAATCATCGGACGGAGGATCTTCCTCTCTGTCTCTCCTCTCTGTATATCGCCTTTCCAATAAAAAAAATAATAATAAAAATAAATCTTTAAATAAAACATATGACTTATTTATGGAAATTTTTGTAGGGTGGCTGAATTCAGAGTTCTGTATTTTCTGCTTTGTGTGTGTGAAACAGCTGCCTGTATGTGCCCTTGCATATGCCACACCTCTGAGCTTTCTGTTCAATGTACATTTCCTGATACGCATAGAGTGACTCCAACTAGTTTCTCTCCCAAATTTCTTTTTAAAGATTTATTTATTTTTATTGCAAAGTCAAATACACAGGAAGAAAGACAGGAAGATTCCCCCATCCAATGATTCACTCCCCAAGTGACTGCAATGGTCGAAGCTGAGCTGATCTGAAGCCAGGAGCCAGGAGCCTCTCTGAGGTCTCCCACATGGGTGCAGGATACGATCTCAAGGGCTTGGGCCGTCCTCACCTGCTTTCACAGGCCATAAGCAGGGAGCTGGATGGGAAGTGTGGGTTGTGGGGATACGAACCAGTGCCCATATGGGAACTCCAGGCACGCAAGGCAAGGACTTCAGCCACTAGGCTACCGTGCTGGGCCCCCTCTCCCATATTGTTTTGTGGGCATCTCTTCTCCTGTGACTTCAGGGATTTTTAAGATTTGTTTTTATTGGGAAGACAGATATACAGAAAGAAGGAGATACAGAGAGAAAGATCTTCTGTCCTCTGGTTCACTCCCCTGGCGGCCACAACTGCCAGAGCTGAGCCGATCTGAAGCCAGGATCCAGGAGCTTCTTCCAGGTCTACTACATGGGCGCAAGGTCCCAAGGCTTTGGACCGTCCTCTACTGCTTTCCCAGGCCACAAGCAGGGAGCTGTATGGGAAATGGAGGCTATATGGGATGCTTTTTTTTTTTTAAAGATTTATTTTTATTATTTTTTCATTGGAAAGGCGGATATAACCCTAACCCCAAGCAAGTCCTGCAAGTGGGGCATGCTCTGAGATATTCGCTCAAGAGGTTTCAATAGTTCACCAGTTATGAATCGCTACCAATCTCGCCCCTCCAAACACGATGAGGTCGTTGAAAAATCCACTGATTGACATTGTCCATCATAGCGTCTCTATTTGCCCGGTATTTTGTTGCCAACCTATAGCTGAGGTGGTTGATTAACTTGTTCCATCTTCTGTCCTTTCATGGTTAGGGTTCTGAGTCTGGCATTTCAATTGGGGAGATCGCCAAAGAAACTTCGTCTGAGGTGTTCCCAGGCCAGATTCTTGTATGCACCAGCAAGTACAGGGTCCGGCACAGTCCATCACCCTGGTCAGCTGGTGGTTGCAATTGCCGGGTTGGTTCTGTTTTCAGCCCTGCTTTCCACTGGAACCAATGGGTGTTGCAGTCCAGACTGGTTCTGCACAGCGCATACTTGGCCCTCACATAAACCCGTGGGAGCTGCAGCCTGGTGAGAGCAACCCACAATAACCCCCACCAGGCCTGCCCCCTACCCTGGTTTGCCAGTATGTGTAGCAGACCAGTGTAGTCTGTCCCACATCCCCCTTGGCTCTCGTACACGGCAAATGGAGAGAAGTTTAGATCCATCTAAGCAGCTCAACAACCAAGCCCTCACGGGTGTTGATGAGTGCCTCTCTGTCTAGCCACCCCAACCCCTGTCCTAGTTTTTGTGCCAACCCGTGGAAGTCGTAACCCAAGAGGGGGGGAACCCACTATTTCCCTCCCAGGTCTCTCACTCCTGGATTGTGCACTTTCCAGGTGGTTATGCAGTTTAACTGGCAGCAATCTTTCTTGCATCTGCTGGCTCACTTCCCCAGGGACCACCACCAGAGCCAGTAGTGGCTGGGCCAGGACAAGCCTGGGAATCAGGAGCTTCCTCCAGATCT